ACAAACAAATAATTTTTTGTATTAAAATTGTTTAAAAACGAGTTTACATTTTTTTTTTCTCTTTCTGTTGAACATGACCTAGGATATATCCCAAGTCATGTTTAACAGAAAGAGAACAAATATGTTGACGCGTTTTTAAACAATTTTAATGTTTAAAAAAGAAATAAATTCAAAGGGGGGCTAATAATTCTAACTTCAACTGTATATATATATATATATATATATATATATATATATATATATATATATATATATATATATATATATATATATATATATATATATATATATATATATATATATATATATATATATATATATGTGTATATGTATATATATGTATATGTATATATATATTTTTTTATATTTACCAAATGATGTTTAACACTATATAACACTGGAAATTTTCACAGTATGTCTGATAATATTTTTCTTCTGGAGAAAGTCTTATTTGTTTTTTTTCGGCTAGGATAAAAGCAGTTTTTAAGTTTTTCAACACCATTTTAAGGACAAAATTATAAGCCCTTTTAATCAAATTTTTTTCCAATAGTTTACAGAACAAACCATCATTATAGAATAACTTGCCTAATTACCCTAACCTGCCTAGTTAACCTAATTAACACAGTTAAGCCTTTAAATGTCACTTTAAGCTGTATAGAAGTGTCTTGAAAAATATCTAGTCAAATATTATTTACTGTCATCATGGCAAAGATAAAATAAAACAGTAATTAGAGATGAGTTATTAGAACTATTATGATTAGAAATGTGTTGAAAAAAAAAAATCTTTTCTCCGTTAAACATTAATGGGGAAAAAGGGGGGGGGCTAATAATGTTGCTTTTAAGTGTAGATGTCAACTCATGGTCAATAGATATATCCCGGACGAGCCCCCTTTTTCCACATTATACCAACTGAATGATTTTGCAAGGACAATTCAATTTACTGTATTCTTATGATTGTAAGTTGACAAGTAGTTGCAAAGTTACTCTCATAGTCAACAGATTAGCCCCTTTCTCACATACAGATCTTTCCGTAAAATTATCGACAATTTTCCAGAAAGGTGTGTAGGTGTGAACAGGCCCTTTTTAAAAATACCGGTAATTTGTTCTGTCTATTTTCTGGAATGAGAAGTTGTAACATTTCCGGTAATTTGCCGGAATTCTGCACTGTGTGAACGCAGAAGGAAGATTGCCGCAAAGAATGCGTTCACGTTTAGAATGCGCTGATGTGAGACGTCTACTTTATCCAATCAGAACAGTCAGACGCATTCACATCTGCGCTGTTTATGAAAATAAAAGCCTTTGAATATTTTTCCAGACACATTTAGCTGCTAGATGTTAGTCCGGTATCGTTTCTATGTTCCATCTTAATGCCAACTGTGGAAAAAATATCGATAAAATGCTTATGTCAAGCCGTTGTTTGTTTACCTTCAAGCTCTGACGCGTGTGCACGTAAAGCAGCCAGTGAGCACCAGCAGACACGCATATTATAAACATCTCAACATGCGAAAGTGTTTCTCTATATGTTTTCATCAAAGTTGTTCACAGTACTGATCCATCCACAGTTTATAGTGTAGTTGAGTTTGTAGTGTAGTCAAATGTTTATAAATACAAGCACAGCCGTTTAGAGCTCATTTCTGGTTGATGATGTCACAATTTACCGGTATTTTGGAATGGATGTGTGAATGGTCTTTATCGGAAAAAATCTGTGACGTCCTCATTTGCGTGAACAGCGCTTTTTTGAATATACCGGTGAAGTCGTTCCGGATATTTTCCGGATATTTACCGGTATCACTGTGTAAAAGGGGCTATTGTCTGCAGGGGAACATTCTAATAAATATATCATCTTGATATTAAAATCTACCTCTAAAGTCTACAGAAAATCTGTTGTGATGACAGACTCCTCAGCACAAAGCTTCTTCGATGCGCTGTATGTTCATGCGTGCTGGTGGGTTATTTTGGGGGTGATTAACAGCTGACAGATCCAAACACTGGAGGAATTCAGCTGCTCCACTATTCACACACACCTAGTTCACACACTTTAGACTAGTCACTATTTCTCATAAGGCATTCAAAGTCTGTGTACTATTTTTGCAAAGTCATTTGTTTTTAAAACAGGCAAACTAAACCATTTTAGATCTGATCAGCATCTACTCAGAGAGCCAAATGAAAGTTTAAAGTTATTGTGTTGTTTAAATAAAAGTATGGCATCTTTTTGTTTGGTATTTTATGCAAAAGTAAGTGCTCTAAATGACATTTTTATTTTAAATTTGAAAGAAATGTCACTGGTAGTGCATCGAATAGGACAATATTACTTAAACACAACTCTGAATCCAAAGAAACCAAAAATCGATCTTTTCTTTTTTACATTTTTGCTGCTTGTTCAAACTACTTATTTAAAAAGAGCCGAATCAGCACAATCCTTGGGGCTTTTTTGTGGAAACTAAATTTTTTAATGTTCAATCTACTTAAATTGTGTGGAACCCAGCATTTTTACATTGTAGTTTTACATTCTAGTCCTCACAATACATCTGTAACTATATGAGATATAAGAAAAACAGCTTAATATATCAACATTCATTCATTTTCTTTTAGCTTAGTCCCTTTATTAATCAGGGGTCGCCACAGTACAATGAACTGCCAATTTATCCAGCATATGCTTTACGCAGCGGATGACCTTTCAGTCCTTTCTGTATTTCAAACTATATTTGTTCCATGTTGAAACAAACTCAGTGAAATGCAAAATAATGAAGGTCGAAGGACAAAGAAATGTCTGCATCTCAGCCGGAGACTGCGAATGGCTTGTGTGGGACGTTAAGTTCAGCCCCTACGAAGCAGGATAAGCCGTACTGAGCAGAAATCAAAGCTCTTTCCTCTGCTTTTCCCAGGGGCAGTTAAATAAACACACTCGTAAGCCCCACATCTCTTCTTCACAAGTTCACAACACGAACGCGGTGTTTTTCTTTCCCTGTGTTTTTCTGATCTTCATGTGGGATCAGCGTGTGTGTGTGTTTGTACTGTAAGTGTTGGGCTGCAGGAAGTGAGGGTGCTTTTTCTTGCCATGTTAAGCCCCAAAAGCTTGAACATTTCTCCACATTCCTGTCTCAGTCATGTTGCTGTCTGACGGAAATGTTAGGAATGATGCAATGTTTTTAGTCAAGTAGTTACAGCTGTAGAACAGCAGTGTGAGGTTTTGCTTCAAGTCACATTAGCCATTTAATAATAATAATGTAAAAATCGCATGCAATATAATGCATTTTTAAGACTTACATGGAGAAAGGAGGTTTGGAAAAAAATAAAAAGAGAATTAAAAATGGTGGGATGCTTTTAAACTGTGATATCTGACTAGCACTATAGCACTTTCTGTGTGTTGATTAATTGTATGCATTTTAAGAGTTCACTCTTAGCTCATGATTTGTACATAGCTTGTTTGGCATGCTGTCCCGGGAGAGAGCCCTGAGCTCAAGGGATCCTCGAGCCCAGGGCTCCCCCCTTTTGCAGGGCGAGGGGAGATTGAGCTCAGGTCGATCTCAAACTCCCCCACTGCTGTGGCCGAGGCAAACTTCCTGAGAGTAAGACACTCTAAAAAAGGTTTAGGCTTATTTTGTCTATTATATAGAGCAGGGGCTCCCAAACTTTTCAGCCCGCGACCCCCAAAATGACAATGCCAGTTACTTGTGACCCCCAATATCCTCGGAGTTGGTTATAATGACATAAACCTTGCATGCAATGGCGCACACACACCAATCGACCAAAGCCTATTCTTTGTTTTATTTTTGTATGTATGTCAGTTTATAACCTGGTGTTATAAAATCAATCTGCTGCTTCTGATGCTATTGCAGTGTCTTTAATATAATGTAATTACCTGAGAAGTAGCAATCCAATAGAACTAGTAACAATAAGTATTATAGTAACTATATAGTAGTATATAGTAACAATTTTTTCTCTTCAGTAGGTTATGGATAAAATATGGTCATTCTTTTGGTTTAATAAAAATAAATAGATTTTTGGAAACCACCAGGCGACCCCCCCCTTCATTGTCCTGCGACCCCTCGGGGGGTCCCGACCCCCACTTTGAGAACCACTGATATAGAGCACATTTGGATGGTTGGAGGAAACCGGGGGAATCCGGGAGCAACCCACGCGGACACGGGGAGAACATGCAAACTCCGCACAGAAATACCAGGTGGCTCAGCGAGGACCCAACGCCATAGGTATTCTTGCTGTGAAGCAACAGCAGGCACGTGCACACATAGGGCTATAGGGCTCAACCTGTGCAACAGTGCTAGTCACTGGGCCGCCGTGCCGCCCATTCTGAATAAAGGAGGAAGAAGGGGGGGGGGGGGGGTGTCTTCCAGACAAAGGTAGTTGTAGAAAGGAAATGGAGGATATATATAGTGACTTTGGATCCTTTGATTGGAGGATCATGATTAGCTAATATGGAGCAGCTGGGTCAATCATGAGCACATGCTCCTCTCGAAATTAGTTTAAAATTAAACTTCACTTTTTTTCTTTTACATTAAGAGGCATTATCATATCAGATATTTATATCATATCATATAGAGGAATTATGTCATAGAATGTTAAAATAATAAAGTGTTACAAATTAAATTTAAAATTCTTTTAGCAAAAAGAGTTTTAAACCTAAATGTCACTTTAAGCTTTATAGTGCATTTCAAGTGTCTTGAAAAATATCTAGTAAAATATTCTGTACTGTCATCATGGCAAAGATAAAATAAATCAGTTATTAGAAATGAGTTATTAAAACTATTATGTTTAGAAATGTGTTAAAAATATATTATTTTCGCTAAACAGAAATTGTATACAGGGGGATTAATAATTCAGGAGGGCTAATAATTCTGACCTCAACTTCTTCTAAAATGTGATCAAATGTCATTTTTACCATTTACATTTCACAAAATGGTACTATAGCAAAGTAATAAAACACACTGACTGAAGTATCTACTTTACACGTCTATAAGAATCTTTCTGTCTGTCTGCAGTGGATGACGTGGCTGCAGACACCGGTTTTCTTGACCTCCCTGCACTGAGCGACACACACCTCCAGTTAGAGGAAGAAGAAAAAAACGGTAATGACACGTGTGGCGAGCCAAAGAGATTTAAGCATCGGCAGCTGAAGTTTGCAGCGCTTTTCTATCTGTTATTGCGGAGGACGGTTAGTATTTTACTGAGCCGTCTGCAGGCTTGAAAAAACATGAGATTAAAGGGACCCGTGTCTGTAGCTCCTTCTGAATGTTTAGACTGTAAGATGCCAGACTGCTTCTTACTGTAATAGAAGGGATCTTCACTCAATTGTAGAGTCTAGATGAGATAAACGATAAAAGTTGGCAGGCTTTTGCTGAATAAGATCTAAAAACGCTTCGAACTAATGATTACAAAGAGCTTTTTCCTCATGAAGATGTTTATGTTATGGGATAAATATAGAAAATATATAATTGTGATTTTTTTTTTTTATCTCATCATTCAGATTTTTTTCTTTCAATTTGAATGGATGAACATTTCTCGCATTTCTGATTTTATAGTGTTTTTCTTGATATTTTGGCTATATCATGCAAGTAGCTTCATTTGAAATATGTGCCCAGGGCTACATTTTTAAGAACAGACAAATATGTACCCTGGATTACATTTTCTTGCAGTTTTTGCTTTTTGCAAATCCACTAGAGGGCGCCGTGTACATTTTCGACAATCTCTAATATGTAAATACACATATTTCTCGATTCTCAAAAATGTACTCCAGGGTACATTTTCCCAATGAGTCTTACTGTAATGAAAGGAAGCCCCAGACAATTATAGCATCTAGATGAGAAAAATATTAAAAGTTGACGAAAGATAAAAGTATGCTGAATAAGATCTATAAATGCTACCGAACTAATGATTACAAAGAGCTTTTTTCTCATTAAGTTGTTTCAATTATGGGAAAAAAGTAATTGTGACTTTTTATCTCATAATTCAGAATTTTTTCTTTCAATTTGAATGGATAAAGATTTCCCGCATTTGCGATTATAAGCTTTTTTGTGGGGGAATTTTGACTATTTCTTGCAAGCAACTTCATTGGAAATATGTGCCCAGTTCTACATTTTTGAGAACTGACAAATATGTACCCTGGACGACTCTTTCTTTATAAGTAAATGCAAATATTTCTCACTTTTATTATTCTAGGTTGTTTATGTTATGGGATAAATAAATAAAAATGTAATCGTGAGTTTTTATCTCATTATTGAGGGTTGTTTTTCATGCAGTTTGAATGGATAAACATTTCCCGCATTTGTGAATTTATAGGCTTTTATTTTGGAATTTTGACCTTTTCTTACAGGCAACTTAATTGGAAATTTGTGCCCAGAGCTACATTTTTGAGAACCGACAAATATGTAACCTGGTCTACGTTTTCTTGTGGTTTTATTGTACATTTCAACATCTGAAATATGTTAATACGTAAATACCAACATAGTCTCATGGCAATTCATAACTTTTGATTTAGAGGCTAAATCATATGAATTCAACTTAGTACCATTTGCTTATAATATGGACTGGGTTGGGTGCCACGACTCCTTTTTTAAATTCGTACATTTTTGTACGACTGAACTCGTACAAATTTGTACAAGTTAGCTACTAAACTGATAAAACATAAAATGGTTTTGTTTCTCGTGAGATTGGGCTGGTAAATACACATATTTCTTGATTCTAAAAATGTGCTCCAGGGTACATGTTCCCAATTAGCCTGAGTTATTATATTTAAATCTCACAATTTAGACTTTTTTCTTATAATTATGATTTATTTTCACTATTGCAACTTTATTGGGTTTCTTTCAACTCCTGCAATATTTCCTGCAACCATTGAAAAGTTTGCATTTGCCACTTTTTTCCTCAGAACTGACTAATTTATTGTATTTGTGGCTGTTAACTTTCTTGGCATTTTGAATGAACCTTTCACAATTCTGAATTGCTTTCTTTAAAATAGCTTTTACAGAACTTCTTACCCAGTACATTATAATTCTTTTTTTTTTCATAGAATTGTGACTTTGTTTTTTGCAATTGTGCAAACATTTTCTGCATCTCACAATTCTGGCATTTTTATTGGAAAATGCTACTTGATTTCTTGCATTTTTGACATTACAGGCCCTCTTTATTTCTTATTTCACACAATTCTATTTTGTTTCTTACTTGCAATTTTGACTTTTTGTTAGAATTACAACAATAGTTTACATTTGCCACTATAGACTTTTTTTACAATGCTTTTTCCTACTATTTTTCAAAACTTTTGTTCTGCTTTTACATCTTGCAGTTCTGTCACTTAAATTTGTGTGTTTATTACATTATAGGCTTTCTTACAATTTAGAATTCAGAATTATGGGATGTTAACTCAGATTTTTGGAAAATAAACTTGTAAAAGGCAGAAATGTAAGATCCGGAAGCCTTATGAGAAAAAAAAAAAAAAAAAAAAATATATATATATATATATATATATATATATATTAAAAAAGTATTTTTTTGTTTGGATTTAATGCCAATTACAAGCTGCCACTGTTTTCATTAACCATTTTTCTGGACTAAAGCACATATCTACTTAAAATGGAAAGTTACATTTACGTCTGTGGAAGTTTTCCTTCCTCACTCTCCTTTTTCAGCCAGATGTGTTTCTCGTCTGTCTCTCTCTCTCTCTCTCTCTCTCTCTCTGTGTGATTCATTTTCCACAGACACTGAATGCGTCTTCACTCCTGCAGAGTCTCAGTCTGCCTGTCAGCTCTGGAAAACACAGCAGAAGCAGGAATGCAATCCTGAATCTTGTGGCCTGAAGCGAAACGCATATCGGTGGGACGTCATTCCTCTCAGCCCTCCTTCTACTTCTCCTCCTCCTCTTTCATCACGGGCCTGTGCTCAGTGTATGTCACTCAGGGGCTTTCTTACAGGACCCTCGTTTTAGAGGGGGAGTGGTCCAGATTTAATGAAGGGGGAGGAGTTTATTGGTTAAAGGAAATATAGTTTTGAGAAACCCTGCCTTTGAGTGGCGTCTGCCCTCCGCCCATTTCTGAACTTTCACACTTCATGCTGTTCCACCAGCCAAGCAAAAAAAAAAAAAAAAAAGATTGAAGCCCCTTCATCAATGTGAAAACTTCCTCCTTTGAATCTGTTTGCATGTGTGACTGATTTGTTTAAGATAGCAGTTGCAATGGGAGTTTTTAGACAAAGGGAATTACATTTAAGTAATAAAGTTAAAATTAAAGTAATATTTAATGCAAATCATGAATTTGAACTGACACTGAAATTATAAAAGGTACAACGTATGATTTTTGAAAGATTTAATGTATATAAATAGACTAATGTTTAAAAGTTAGAAATAATTAAGATTTTTTAAAGATGTCATTATTAAAAGTCTGCATTTAATTAAAAATAAAGTAAAAAGAATTAAAGTTACAAAAATAACTAAATTATTAAGTTTATTGTGTTATGGCAATTAAAATGTCGAATTGGGAAATATTTGAAAAGAAAAATTATACACAGTTGAACACATTTCTTAATATAATAGTTTAATAACTCATTTCTAATAACTGATTTATTTTATCTTTGCCATGATGACAGTAAATAATATTTTAATAGATATTTTTCAAGACACTTCTATACAGCTTAAAGTGACATTTAAAGGCTTAACTAGGTTAATTAGGCAGGTTAGGGTAATTAGACAAGTCATTGTATAATGATGGTTTGTTCTGTAGACTATCGAAAAATAAATAGCTTAAAGGGGCTAATAATTTTGACCTTATGATGGTTTTTAAAAAAATTAAAAACTGCTTTTTTATGGCCTAAATAAAACAAATAAGACTTTCTCCAAAGAAATAATATTATCAGACATACTGTGAAAATGTTCTTGCTCTGTTAAACATAATTTGGGTCGGCGCCAGTGGTGTAGTGGTTAGTGCGTCAACACATGCACTCCGGTGCTCACAGCGACCCAAGTTTGAGTCCTGCCTCGCGGTCTTATGCTGGTCCTTTCCCTCTCTCTGCTCCCCATGCTTTCCTGTCAATACTCTCTACTGTCCTATACAATAAAGGTGAGAACCCCTAAAAAATAATCCTTTGTGAAATATTTAAAAAAGAAAAAAAATTCAAAGGAGGGCTAATAATTCTGACTTCAACTGTATCTGTCTCTCTCTCTCTCTCTCTCTCTCTCTCTCTCTTGCTCTCTCTCTCCCTCTCTCTCTCTCTCTCTCTCTCTCTCTCTCTATATATATATATATATATATATATATATACATATATATAAATGTGTGTATATATATATATATATATATATATATATATATATATATATATATATATATTACTGAAGGTTCATTTGAGATAGCAAAGATGTCCATGCAAAAAGTTAAATAGTGTGCTGAAAAAAACATAAGATGTGCATGAAATGTTGAACGATACAGCTGGGAAAAATTTACTGGACAATTATGTTCTGGAAAATTATATGTAAAAAAGTTATCATCCCAGGCTCATTCTGAAAACATACTACTATATACATTTTTGGAGAGCGCCAAATATGTCCCAGGAGCTACGTTTTTTTTGCAGTCTTTGTTTTCGCGAATATACCAGAGGCTGCAGTGTATGCTTTTTCAGATTTCAAATATCTCTTGAGAGTGCCATTCGCGCCTACTGTTCTCGTTTATATCCACCAGAGGCTGCTGTCAACTGACTCACTGACTGACTGCCCGATCAACTGAACCACCCTCCTCCCCTAAACGCAACTAATAGTGTTTTCAAAAGCACATATTGACCCACTCACCCCCTTCCCTAAACCGACAGTTTTAAAAAGCAATCCAGAAAAAGAAAAGCCCTCGCCTGATTTTTTTTACCACATTTTCAGATTTTACCACATGCTCACCCTGTTATTTACTTGTTTATTGAAATTTTTTAGCTTCTGTTTTTGGCTTACCCGCTTTCTGGAACCATTCTTACATACGTTCTGACATTCGCGGCAAGCCACTGGACAAACTGGTAACAGTGGGAAGGCCATTCATACGAATGTAAGTAGTAAGCTGGTATGCGTGAAAAGGATTGGCATCATACCTCCCCGTGGTGTTCGTTTTAAAGACGAAATGCAGCCATAAAACTTGTGACTACATAATTTCTGATCTCGAGAAATGTATATAGGGCTACATTTCCAGAATGAGCCTATGTTGAATGTCAAAGATGACAAAATTGCAAACATTTACTGAAATAAAAAGAAATAGTAATTGTAAAAAAATAGTTATAGAAAAGCTGTATATGTTGAAATGTATTTACATATGACACCATCTATTTTATGGCTGATCTGTAGGTCAGCCTGTGCTCGGCTCTAAAACGCCCTTTAAATTACACACCTGTGGCCAGACGTACCTTCTCTTTAGAGCAACTGCATGATGAGAAGCTCCATCTTTGGGGTCATAAACTCAGAAACAGAATGCTGTGTACCTGCAGTTTTTCTAGACACACGTACAGCACGAGCTGCTTTTCTAAAGCAAATGTGCTGTCAACTTTAAACTCATTTGATTCACATCACAATGAAGAATTGGGGTTTGAAATGTATTACTTTGTGCAGGGTGTAAAAGTACTCATCATACAGGTAATCAGAAGTTCACAGCATGCTGTTTGGATCATTTTGTTCTTAAGATATAGAGTACAATACAGTACAGTGAAAATGATCATTTTAGGATGTGTTTATGTGACAACAAGATGCAAATAAAAGAGATCAAAATGACAATAGTGTGTAAATGAATGCAGTAAAAAGATTTAAAAGATTTGAGTAAAACCAACTTTTTTTTTATTCTATGAACTTCTGATGACATTTCTTTTAACTTGTCCTTTGTCCTTGTCCTTATTTACCATCACCTCATGATTAATAATGTGACACTGATTTCATATGACAGTTCAACAAATAAGTTAATAATATTAAGCCACTTATATTTTTGATCAAATAATGACTGTTTTGGTTTATTTTAGCAGCAAAAATAGATCAGATGAATCAGAACATTCAGTTTTTTCTCCCATCCTGTAGCCCTCTCGTGTACCATACGCGAACCTCTGATTTGGATTGATTTGGAGCGTTTAAAATTTAAATACATATACATAACCTATTTTTTTAGGGCAGCAATGTGGTGCAGTGTGTAGCACAATAGCCTGACAGCAAGATGGTCACTGGTTCTGTGTGGAGTTTGCATGATCTCCACGTGGGAC